ACTGACCCCCCCCCCCCCGAAGAACCGCGCCTGATCCCAGCAAAGGCATTGCCCTCTAAGATGGCTGCTACACAAGTTGTAGCAGCATTCAAGGTCACCCTATCTATCAAACCCCTTCAAATAACAGGTTTTGAAAGTTATGTGGTTTAATCCATGGGGGTTTTGGCAGTTGGTGACAAGCCTGTTCAAAAGCCAGATAGGAAGTGGATATATATTTTTTTGACGGTTTGTGACAGGGCTATCAGTTTAGAGGGGCTAAGGGGAAGGCGCCTAATACAAAATACATTTCTTGATTTCTTCTTGCTATGAATCTGTATTACCTGTGCTAAGTAAATGTGAATATGTAAATATTCTATTAAAAATAAAAGCCATGCAACAAAGTGTTTTAGGCGTTCCATACTTAACCATATTTTCCAAGTATATGCCTATATTACTAGGTGTAGGCCCTATTGAAAATTTAATGGTTTAATGGTATACATTTACAAGGTCAACAACAAAAGTGAGTACTTTCTTATCGGCATCAGTCTTAAAAATGCTTTTCAGTTTTCACGATGGCCAAAATGGTGGTATATGTAACAAAAAAAAGAGAAAAGAAAAAGGCCTCTAATAATATCGACCATTTTGTATTTCCAACATGTACAGCTCCTCTTTAAAAACCATAAGCCTTGTATCGGAAGTTAAAGCATTGTGTATAATTATAAAACTGTTTACGCAACTTGTTGAATTTCCTGACATCAATTTTCAGATGAGAGATCTGCTTTCGTGTTTGCAGAGCTGGCCTAAGTTTTCGTGAGTTTCGAACTGTATGCTAATTGTATCATATTTAATTTCACAGTTAATAAGCTGGTGGATTGTTTCGAAACAAGTCGTCATGATAAAAGTGCAAATAATAAACCTTACAGCGAGCTTTTTTTTTATCTACAGGTCATTGACAGTTCATTGACTTTCCTGAATTAAAGGGGCACTCCTTTAATTCAGTGATGATTTACTAAGAGACATGTCCATCAGTAATGGTTATATTACGTAAATTGGGTAAATGTAAGAAAGACAATATAATACGAAACAAATCAAATATCTAAAGCAAAATTTAGACGTATTTCCAGCTATTTATGCAAACAATATAGCTTCAGCAAAATGTGCATTTTAATTGATATGCCATAACTTAAAACAAAACATTTATAATTATTTTGAAGAATAAATGGATGCTTTGATGATTAAAGTCTGACCTTATCATGCGATTAAAACTCTAGTACTGAACAATCACACACAAAATAAAAAAGTTCTTTTTATTTCAAAAAGTCCAGGCCTACGTGCGGATTCCTTTGTTACTCTTTTGTTATTACGATTTTTACTTTTATTTTTTACGTTGTGTTGTCAATTTCGCAGAGGTGGCAGCAAGTAATTTTTTGCAAGTCCAAGTCAAGTCACAAGTCATTGTTTGCAAGTCCAAGTCAAGTCACAAGTCATTAGGTCCAGTCACAAGTCAAGTCACAAGTCATTAGGTCCAGTCACAAGTCAAGTCACAAGTCATTAGGTCCCGTCACAAGTCAAGTCACAAGTCATTTGGCATGTTTGGTCTAAACACAAGTCAAGTCACAAGTATCTTTGTCCAAGAACGCGTCAAGTTGCACATTATTTTGTTCAGCTTTAAGAAAGAACCTGGCGTTAACTAACGAGTTATTTTGAACATGCCTCCTTATTTCCCCTTTTTCAATGTGTTGCAATTACTATTCTTGTAGTATATCACATATCCGTCGGATATTAGCCCTTTGTATACTTTAATAAATGTACTTTACATTGTAAAAATAAATGCTGAGATGACATGAAAAAAAGACTTCACTCACTCGATTAGGCAAAAAAAAAAGTCTCCGGTTTCTGGTATGGAGCTTGTCCAAAAAGCGGTGCGGCGACGCGGCTTTTTTTTTTTTTACCCGACTTTTTTGCTTCAAATGTGCTTCAAATGTCGGCTGATGACTGCAAATGGTGCCTGACTAAACTTAGTGCAAATATATGGGAGTCCAGAGAGGCCACATAAAGCTTATTCTCGATCATAACCCCATCTAAAAACACGTTGAAATTGCGCAGCAGCAGAATTCCAGTCAAACCAGTGAGTTTGGCGGTTTTGAGACATCATCTTTCATTGAAAAAAAAACTTTTTCATTTTGCCGACGCGCATGGCTACGGTGACGCGCGCGCATACCAGAAACCGGAGACTTTTTTTTTGGCCTTACATGTAGTATACTAACACTTTATTGTTCAATTTTCATGTATACTAAACGTCTATACCAATGGGTTAAGCTATCCGGTATTTTACATGCAATTGACAAAGGCATGCTTTCTTTTCGTGAAAGGTTCCTTTCAAAGTTTGTTCAACCATTACATTAAGCAAGAGACTTGGTCATTGAAAACTGTAGTTTGTTGTGACAGTCTTATTGAAAACTTTTTAAACTAATGGGAACTATTCATTTTACTGGATTCAGTCACTGAGGTCTATTTTCTGGAATGAAACTTTCTCGCTGCATCTATAAACTGCATTTATAAACACCTTGAGTGGCCTTTTGGGCCTTGTGATGGGCGACTTCAATTAAAATAAAATCGAGAAGCGTCTGACTTGGGTTGGTAACAAGTCATTTTTTGCAAGTCCAAGTCAAGTCACAAGTCATTGTTTGCAAGTCCAAGTCAAGTCACAAGTCAAAGCTGGTATTTACAAGTCAAGTCACAAGTCACAAAAATAGCGACTCGAGTCCGACTCGAGTCCAAGTCACATGACTCGAGTCAGCAACTCTGCAATTTCGATGAAGATAAGAATGCAGATTTGATTTCAATGAAGTATTTTAGTATTCTGATGTTTTGATGGGTGATTTATGGTCGGAATGAAATACATTTGTATAATACTCGGTGTAAATATTTTATGATTGGTAACGTGTTAACCCCCTCCCCGACCAAAAAAAAATTCCCGCTGCTTGAACTTTGAGTTTTGCATAAGCATAAACAAAACCGTGCGGTGTTCCGTGACGGACAGGCCTATATCTACTACCCGGAACCAAATCGTATTTTTCCAACTGCAACTCAAAGCGACGAGTGTTTGACACAGACTTGACAAAGGAAGAACTGGTGAAAGGCGCAATGGTGCATTTCTCATCTATGAGTTGAATAGGTCTGCGTACATGCATACATAGTAGTTGTACACATTATCACTATTATCAGGTCATTGTCGGTAAAACATGGCCATGTTTCTACCAAAGCATCAGCGGGTCAGTGATGGATTATTGTCTGGTCGCCCGTTTGTTTTTACTCTGTTTACTACAGCTTGCAAGCTTGTATTAGTTTTGTCGCAGCCACGAAATGGTAAGCTCAGTATTTTAGATGTCTTTTGAGAGGTGATGGGCTGATACAAAATTAAGTTGGGAGAATTTAGGGTATGTGGGGAGTGTGGCCAAGTGATAGGGTCTGTGACTCATGATCAGAGGCCATATGTTGTGTCCTTGGGCAAGCCACTTTACAACCACTTGCCTCTCTCCACCCAGGAGTATAAATGGGTACCGGCATTAGCTGAGGAGTTTATACCTGCGATGGACTAGCGTCCCATCCAGGGGGAGTAGAAAAATAAATTCCCAGTCGTTTCATGCCACTGAAACCGGTGATAAACGCTGGCCTAGGCTGATGGGCCACATTGGCTCTTGACATTGGCTGGTGCTGGGAGACGAGGGACAACTGGTTCCAACTGGCCACTTTAAACAAGTCTCATTAATGCAGGTGTCTGATAATTCTTTATGATTGTAACATATTTCTTAGTATTTTCGGACAGCCTAGAGATTTCAACACTTTTTACATTGCGGGTCATGATTCATTTGACTCCATAAATATGTTCTAGAAATGTACACACATCAATGGGGCGAGTGAACGTCCCGCCTACTTAATGGCTAATTTGAGGGACCCCTGAGACTGAAGCCCCTGCAAGTACATGTTCGTTGTATTTGGGAATGGAACATTTTGGAAGTCTAGGGTAGGTGGGGCTTGCATGGGATGTATAGCTGTAGAGTATCCAAAAAGGACAATTTGTGGGCCACGGATCCGCGTCTGCTATGGCGTTTTAGAGATCATATAATTGAAGGGGAAAAAGGTTTTACGGCACTGTTTTTTTTTTTGCATTTATCAATTTTTTAAATCTTATATGTTCGATTCAAGCCCCTGGTTATTTGGGATGCTACAAGGATTGTACTGGTTTTTGGGATTGTAATCGTGCCCTGCCGATCGGACCAGAAGTTCGCGACGATCAATCTGCAGAGTGGTGCTTTAAGCACTGTCTAGATGAGCGTAAATCAAGCTACAAGTACGCGGGGCTCGAATACGCAAATGAATGTTTCTGTGGAAATAACGAAGACTACGACAGATTTGGAAAAAAGGCGGACTCTGAATGTCAAGATAGGTGTACGGGAAACAACGACCAGTACTGTGGAGACTCAAACCGGATCTCTATATACAGAAGTAAGTCTTTATCCATTAAAATTGAATATGCGACGTTCTTATACAAAATATACCAGTGGCAGATGATTTGTTTTCTGAGGTGGGCGGGTGGGGCGCTGAGGTAGTGATGTCCAGAAATTTTCAAGGGGGGGGGGGGGGTTGAGGTATTACAGTCAACACAAAAATGAAAGACCTCGAGCAATATGAAACCGAGATGTGCAATATTTTGACATTGATGTCTAAGCAAAGCAAATTTTGTCAGTCACCCACTTAATACAGCTTTGCACAAACGTACCTTAAAAAGCGTATAAACTGAACTTGCGCTAACGATCATCAAGATAGGCTAAAAATGACCGGATTTAACTTGTTATCTTCACAAGATAGACTAAAAAAATAGAATGTTGTACCGTCGCTGTCAGGATAGCAAATTGTATCTTATTGGAGTACGAGTAATATAACGTTATTTCAGACACCCTGTAAATGATGTCATCGTGAAAAATCTTGTTTTGTAACGATATGGGTAAACAATTTAAAAGAAAATTGCTAGATTATGGCGGAAATATTCGGTGTATTTTTTCCCTTAAAAATTACTTCTTAAAGTTGGTTACATTTCAAAGAGTTGATCCAATTATACGGAAATAATAAATACATGTATATATATTTTCCCCAATAACAGTTTCGCAAGGAGTATGCAGTAATATAGAACCGCCCACCAACGGAGCCCGCAACTTCACCAACCCGCGTTCACTGTCTTACAATCTCAACAACTTCACGTTCTTCGGGACTCGCGTAGATTTCTCCTGTGACCCTGGATATACCCTCCATGGAGCATCAAGCATTGAATGCAATGAGACTGACTACAACAACGTCACGTGGAGTGACTCGGTACCGACATGTGAAGGTAAATCTCTGCGCACTTTCATGGAGCTGTATTTAACACATTTACTTGAAAAGCCGGTAACCAGAAGCAAGAGACATGTATATATTTGTATATATGTATATATTTGCCTGGTATTAACCGTTGTTGCTAAGCAAACGTTTCCTGCCTTAAGCAAATGCTTCTGGACATTAACTCCACAGGATATCGAATTAATCGTACATTATTGTATTCGTTCCCTTGTTGTTTTCAAGTTTCACCGAGAAAAATAGATTTGTTTTGTTTCAATTGCTATTTTCCTAGCAATATGAAAGTTATTCACTTTCGCATGAGACATATATATCGAGAAAAAAATCCACCAACGTTACTGGGTTATTGGATTATTTCTTTACTAAATTTACAAACGATCAGTGACTTACAGACAATAATTCGGCTCTCGCAGGGCGGGTTCATTACGTACACAAATTATTGAAAGCCATCTTTCTCGACTATATGCTTGCTAAAAACAACACAATAGGCCTATGAACGGACGCGGCAACATAAATCAAAGCAAAATAACAAGTCAGTATCAAGTTTGTACAAGTACTGAACAATAACCAAGGAATACCTCTTATAAGATGGAATTTTTGCGCCGGGGTGATACAAATCAAATTAGGTTTTGCCCTTCACCGACGTTTAAACACTGTATACTCAGTGTTTTGTTTTTTCCAACTTTCACTCCGGAGGTAACACACTGAGTATACAGTGGCGTCGGTTAAGGGCAAAACCTTATTTGAAAGGAATACCTACGGTAATTTGACAAGCTTGTCACGTGACTCGAGGTCAGGTGACTTAATTGGGATGCCGCTGCAACTCTCCGGTTGCACACATTTACATTGTGAGTTCTTCCATCCACAGTGCCTACAACCTCAGCACATCTCACAACAGGGCTCTCCAAGTACACGACGCCCAAAAGTATAACCCCATCGCAAACCACAACTACAGCTTACACTATGAGAGGCAACACCTCCCAGCCATTGACAGGATACACTACTGATGTGGGAATAATAGGCACAAGGGTTCCTGACTATGGGACGAACAGTCCCATCGCTGGAAAGTTAGAAACAGGTATGCCGATGTTACAGTCCCAACTATAGTTAGGGCAGTCCCATCTGTAGTTGGGGCATTCCCAAATGTAGTTGGGCATTCCCATCTGATGTTGGGGCATTCCCATCTGAAGTTGGGGCATTCCCAACTGTAGTTGGGGCATTCCCAACTGTAGTTGGGGCATTCCCAACTGTAGTTTGGGCATTCCCAAATGTAGTTGGAACTTGGGACATTCCCAAATGCAGTCGGACATTCCCAGCTGTAGATGTCGCATTCACAACTGTAGTTGGACATTCCCAACTGAAGTTGGGGCATTCCCAACCGCATTTGGGGCGAAAATTTGGGACTCTCGTTACGGTGTATGGGAGTCCCAAATCTTAAGACAGTAAAAACATGCAACTATACAAGAAAAGAAACTGGCGCATGAAACAACCAGTCCAACACCCCCTTATAGCACTGAATCATACTGCCAAAAGAAACATCTGGTACCTATAGTCTCTATTTCTACTTTCTTTCCACACTGCAGTCATGCCACCAGACTACCGAAGGGTTATTGGGGCAGTCCAAACTGTAATTGGGGCGGTCCCGATCTGTAGTTGGGGCAGTCCAAACTGTAATTGGGACAGTCCCATCTGTAGTTGGGGCAGTCCCATCTGTAGTTGGGGCAGTCCAAACTGTAATTGGGGCAATCCAAACTGTAATTGGGGCAGTCCCCATCTGTAGTTGGGGAAGTCCAAACTGTAATTGGGGCGGTCCCCATCTGTAGTAAACTGTAATTGGGACAGTCCCATCTGTGATTGGGGCAATCCCCGCAGGGACGTTTATTACCACAATTCAGAAAAGTTACCTCGTTACCGATACAGAGTAACTACTTGAAAATACACCAACTAGTTATACAGGGACAAACACAGTCATTTCCGAGATTTGGCATTGAACCATCCGGTGTTTACATTTTGACGGATTCGGGCAGGTTTCCAGGGTATAAAGGGGTTAAAGCACCATTTTTATTCCTTGTAGGTCTAAGTCCCAAGATGTTGAATATAAGCTTTTCCTACTAATTCAATGGACACCAAAGATTACGATAACGGTAAAAATGTGTCATCTGTCTGTAGGTGAAGTTGCTGGAATTGCTGTTGGGGCCCTGGCAGCATTCACTGTGCTGATAGTTGCAGTGGCTTTTCTATGGAGAAAAAGGTAAAGAGGCAACAATGATTTTAGAGTCAGGACATAGTCGTCGCAAATGTCCTAGCCCTAACAGTAACAGTCCTTAATCCTCAAATTTTAATATGATTTTTCACACCCCCTACGTTAGACACTCACCGTTTCGTCGGCGCTACCAATTTAAACTTTAAGACATGGGTCCATCTTTAAGTTTGCCCTTGCTCACTAGGCCTACATCTGTATAGCGCACAATGAAAATATTTGAACTACGTAATTTGTGTAAATTAACTTAAATACTTTCTCAGACGCGGTTGGTTTACTCAAACAAGCCATGTGGAGTGCTGTAGTATCTTGGTTAAGGGCATTGGATTCGTGGTCTGCGGGTGCCGCTGCAGGCTGTTGGATCCAGTCCAACCTGGGGTCATGGTACGTGTGCCCATGGGCAAGGCACTTTGTCACTCATTGCTTCTCAGCTCCACCCAGGAGTAAATGGGTACTGTGAGGAATCCCGGTACATACTGTTATTTCGTTTTACCGTTTTGGATTTTGAAGGATTGAGGAAGGTAAAGCCCAGCCACTACCTTACATGGGCCTAATGCTCCTTAAAATTTGAAGTACACCAATTGTGCTATTTAGTTTGGGTCCCCCCTCAATACAAACATTTAGTAAATATTTTTGCAAATTTTTGTTTAGGATCAGGAAGCCTAAAGAACTGAAGGGACCAGACATTGTCTTGGATACGGTTGGTGCCCATTACGTAAACCACACGTTCGCCAACCATCTCTCGGATACCAGTGGCACTGCGCAAAGCCAAGGCGATAGCGACAATGCTCCGCCCGTGTACTACAGCCACGTCATCACGAAAATACACGCAGATGAGGGCGCCACACTTCCGGTTTCGCCTCAAAATGACAAGGACGGCGACAGCGGGTGGGTCGACAATGAAGTGTACGGATGCGAATCGTTTCCGATAGAGATTGAGGCGAGAAACAAAGATAGAGACGGACAGACAAACGGACAACCGCCGATTACCATGGAAGGAAAACCGGGATGGGTGGAAAATATCATCTATGAATAGTATGATTCTAAAGAATAACATCAATCAAAGGCACTTGAATCATTTGCATTCATCCCAAAAGTAGCATACCAAACATTATCAAAAAGCTTACTTGAATTGAAGATCGTTCTTGTGTTAAACACCCCGTGAAATTATTCCGTCTGGCTTGCTGTCATTTAGAAGAAATCAAAGAAAACTAATGTATGTGATTTCCAACGATCAGTCAATATTTACTGATTATTGAAGATAGAGAGTGCTATCAACGAAATAGTGTTTCGTGATCATGAAGCTTATGCATGCTTTTCGCTGTTTTTTGAAATGTGTAACAGCAGTTGAGCTGAAAGTTCAACAGGTAAGGTTTTGAACATTCTATTGGCGAGCGGTGCTATTATTGGAAGCAAACAAAACGCATGTAAAGCAAAGAGCCCTATGGGAATGTACATCATTGGCTGTTGCTGTCATTTTCAGAAATGAACTATTTGAGGGGTTAGTATAATAGATCAAATTTTGTTTAACTGACATGTGTGAAGTTTTGTGTTCGAAAATGCTTAAAAAACCAAGAAAAAACAAAAATGTTTAAGTAGTCTGGTTCCCTGATTCCACTAAAGATAAAATGGATCAATTTATAGTTGTCGGAAAATTGCAAGGTAAGGGAACCAGTCTAGCTGGCCTGTACCCGTTCACGAACATGTAACCAACAGCAAACACAATTTGGACTGGAAAAAAAATTGTAAATTTGGAGCAGTATTTGAAAAATGGTTAGGTTTTTCCAACGGTGGTCGACCACCGTTGGAAATGTATACAAAAATACCATTTTCTTGAAAATGACTTGACACCAGGTGCCATAATTTTACAGGATGCTTTAGACTGTCATTTACCAACGTCCTAGTAAGGTATTTCGTAAAAACTTGGTAGTTTTATTTTTCGATGTTTGCAAATGTTGTATATTAATTCCCTTTAAGCGAATCATCACTTCCACTGAAATTAGTGTTCAAAAGATCCAGGCCTACTCCCTAAACTAAAAGTTACACCTCGTCAACTTGGAAAAATGATTTTCACACCAAAATGTGGTGAATCACTATAGGAATGGGCGTCGCCAGGATTTTTTCTAGAGGGGGGCAAACATTTTTTTTGCCAAAAAATGAATGTATTTCTCAACACATTTTCGATTTATCAGTTTTAGGGGGGGGGGGGCAGGGACATTTTGCCTCCCCCCAAACTCATTAAATTTACACCACTTTGTCTTCGCGCCCCTTTTTCTTTTTTTTCTTTTTTTCTTTTTTCTTCCTTTTTTTTTGTTTTTGTTTTTTTTGCTTTTCCAGGGGGGGGGGGGGGGGGCAAGTGCCCCCTTTGCCCCCCCCCCTCGCGACGCCCATGACTATAGGCCTACATTATTAGCCGCTTATTGACCTCATGCGCTGCAGGATTCCGAGATGGTGTTGCTATTTTAATGTACATTGTATATACAATGACTGCACAAATGGTTTATTTATGCCTATCCCGGCGATGCAAAACCATTGCCCATTGACTTCGCCTTAACGCATTAAGTCTATTTAGTATCGGCGATTGATTTAACTGAATGGCCTACACTGGTGTATATCCACGCCTGCATGTTTCTAAGAGGACTAACTTTCAGTCAGGACGATTACAACTGTGTATGCAATAGTTGAAGAAAATATAATTTTTCCGATGATTGTGAGTTATGGAAGACAATGCATGCATATTGTCATCACATTTTTTTTATATGGCTAGGCCTATGTATCGTGTACAATATTTAGTACAAATATGTACATGTATATAATCATAAAGACATGACATTTTTTCAATGGCCTTGTAGTTTCCGATATCAAACAACCATGAGACAGGAAAGAATAACTTTACATATCTTCCTTTAAAAACAATCGTTTGTTCCGTTACATCAGGATGCACTATATTCTGCAAACTAACGTACAAAGTGTCAGATTCCCCTCATGCATACGGCCGTTTCAATGTATTTATTTCCTCGACCTTTATTGTAACCAAATTCAAGAAGGGCTTTTACAGCAGGTTTTACCATTGAAGTGTATATAGTATTTGTGATAACAAAAATTGGCTTTTTCTAAAATATAGTTCATATTTACACAGGCATTTTATGTTGCGAAATGTAAACACTATCTTGTGCCATATACAAACACACACATTCTAGTACATGTACTTGAAAGTGTATGTCAATATTTGCATCCAAAATCTTTGTTCCACCGTCCACGGCTTATAGCTTTGGTTCACGGAAGCTAAAAAAAAATGATGTCAAAGCCGAATAAGGGTTTGAAATAGGCGGTGTCTAACGGGGGCTCAGGGACTGAGATTGCGCTAGGCCCTGGCCCCAAGGAAAGAGTGAGGACTGAACACAAACGCATGGCCGTCGGATTGCTGATGTCAATGACATGAGTTAGGCCTATGCAATCGCTCTTTAGTCAATTGAAACGCCATACACTTAACGATATTTAAACATGTATAACTACTTCGGTTCAGTTGGTAGTGTTATTAGATTGCAGTTACTGCTGTTTCACTGTAGGGTGTAGTTTTGTATAGGTATTTTGTGGGAGGTCCCAATGTGGGAGCCAATTATATAGACCGATATCCGAGGTGCCCACTTTTTGTGATTACGTGTACATACAGTAGTGGGCTTGGCTTTCGACTACATATAGGCCTATACTGGGAAGCGCCAAAGTTCGCTGCGGTGTTTCTCACATAAACAAAGTGCACTTCCCTTTTTATTAGTGACGAGTTCAAAGCTATACACAACGTACGTGCTGTGAGCGTTCAGGTATGGAAGCGCCCTAGTAATGGCTATGGAACGCCAAAGCCGCCTTCTATAGTTCGATTTCATTCCATAATCAATTTCATCATTCCATTCGGCGATTTCATCATTCCATTCGGCAATTCGATCATTCCATTCGGCGATTTCATCATTCCATTCGGCGATTCCATCATTCCATTCGGCGATTCCATCATTCCATTCGGCGATTCCATCATTCCATTCGGCAATTCCATCATTCCATTCGGCAATTCCATCATTCCATTCGGCGATTCCATCAATCCATTCGGCGATTCCATCATTCCATTCGCAATTTCATCATTCCATTCGGCGATTTCATCATTCCATTCGGCAATTCCATCATTCCATTCGGCGATTCCATCAATCCATTCGGCGATTCCATCATTCCATTCGGCGATTCCATCATTCCATTCGGCAATTCGATCATTCCATTCGGCGATTTCATCATTCCATTCGGCGATTCCATCAATCCATTCGGCGATTCCATCATTCCATTCGCAATTTCATCATTCCATTCGGCGATTTCATCATTCCATTCGGCAATTCGATCATTCCATTCGGCGATTTCATCATTCCATTCGGCGATTCCATCAATCCATTCGGCGATTCCATCATTCCATTCGGCGATTCCATCAATCCATTCGGCGATTCCATCATTCCATTCGGCGATTCCATCAATCCATTCGGCGATTCCATCAATCCATTCGGCGATTCCATCATTCCATTCGGCGATTCCATCATTCCATTCGGCGATTTCATCATTCCATTCGGCGATTTCATCATTCCATTTGGCGATTCCATCATTCCATTCGCAATTTCATCATTCTATTCGGCGATTCCATAATTCCATTCGGCGTTCATCCTTTCATTCGTCTATTTTGCATTTGATTTAGCCATTCCACATTTCATTCAGCAATTTCGCCCCTTTTGCACTTCATGCTATTCTGCATTTCGCTTTTCATGCAGCTATTTCGCATTTCATGCACCTATTCCGTATTTCATTCGGTCAGTGGCAGCGTCCATCCGTACGGAAGCGTTAAAGGGACATAATACAAAGTAAAAAAAATAAGTCTTAATTATGACTTATATCTCATAATTATGACTTATTATTAAGTCTTATTTATGACTTATATGTTATAATAATGACTTAAGACTAAGTCCTAATTATAAGATATGTCATGACTTAATAATAAGTCATTATTATAAGATATAAGTCATAAATATGACTTAATAATAAGTCATAATTATGAGATATGTCATAATTATGATTTAACAATTACTAAGTCGTAATTATGAGATATATATCATAATTATGACTTAACACTAAGTCATTAATATAAGATATAAGTCATAACAATGACTTAATAATAAGTCCTTATTATGATTTTTTTTTTTTTTACTTTGTGTTATATCCCTTTAACGCTTCCGTACGGATGGACCGAATGAAATGCGAAATAGCTGCATAAAATGCGAAATAGCTGCATGAAATGCGAAATGCAGAATAGCATGAAGTGCAAAAGGAGCGAAATTGCTGAATGAAATGTAGAATGGCTAATCAAATGCGAAATAGACGAATGAAAGGATGAACGCCGAATGGAATGATGGACTCGCCGAATGGAATGATGAAATCGCCGAATGGAATGATGGAATTGCCGAATGGAATGATGAAATCGCCAAATGGAATGATGAAATCGCCGAATGGAATGATGAAATTGATTAATGGAATGATGAAATCGCCGAATGGAATGATGAAATCGCCGAATTGAATGATGGAATCGCCGAATGAAATGATGAAATCGCCGAATGGAATGATGAAATTGATTATGGAATGAAATCGAACTATAGAAGGCGGCTTTGGCGTTCCATAAATGGCTACCAGAACCGTCACTGTATAATTTCATAATCGAAATTGTGTACATAGAATTATAGTTCCCGGTTGCCATTATTATTTTATGCTATCAAGTATATAGTCAATGACCACAATGCGCATGCGTCTGTTGATATCGGAATGGTTCACGGACTGAACTTCCATTTCAAAAAAAAAAAATCCTCCATGCTAAGCCATGAATGAGAAGAAAAGGCTAAATTTCATTGTATCGATCATCGGGAGTTGATGAAACACAATTTAGGGAACAAAATTCACTTTTGGGAAAAAGAAAAGAAAATGTAAACTTCCCTCCAGGAATTGACCCCCTGTATACAGATCGGCGATTTTCGACGTAGACCGCGCTGACCGTCGTGGAATATGCTATAAAGGTTGCAGGCCAGTAAATCGGT